GAGGAGGAGGAGGAGGAGGAGGAGGAGCAGGAGGACCAGGAGCAGGAGCAGGAGCAGGAGCAGGAGCAGGAGCAGGAGCAGGAGCAGAAGCAGGAGTAGGAACAGGAGCAGGAGCAGGAACAGGAGCAGGAGCAGGAGCAGGAGCAGGAGCAGGAGCAGGAGCAGGAACAGGAGCAGGAGCAGGAACAGGAGCAGGAGCAGGAGCAAGAGGAGGACGAGGAGGAGGCTGAGGAAGAGGAGGAGGAGCAGGAGGAGCAGGAGGAGGAGGAAGAGGATGAGGAGGAGGAGGACGAGGAGGAGGAGGAGGAGGAGGACACTGAGGAGGAAGTCACATACCATGAACACTAATAACAACCGTACGAATAATACTATTGTGAAAGAGAAGAGCACTACTAATACAAGTGAGATGGGGGTGTGAATAATAACAAACAACGAACACTTAACCAATGATAACATGCATAGTACGAATACGGAGAGTACTAGTACCGCTAATTACACGAATACCGAGAAGCAATTGGACAATCCTAAACACGATACTGATACTAATCATATAATGATATTACTTTTGATTACAGGGAAGAATCACACAACGAAACATACTGATACGAATTTGCGAATATTCAGAATTCTAGCCAGACGGAGAAGACGAGCACTATGAGCCATTTTAATAACAATGCTAATCTTAAGATTAGTATTAACACTCCGAAGAGTAAGACGAATTATGCACATACGTTGAATACTAAGACTAACGAGACTAACAACGATACTACTGACACGTTCGTCATCGCAATACTGGTACGAATCATAATGCAAATCAGCATGAGACAGAAAACACTAACACTCATACCAATACTCATGATGATACGAGTAATACTGTTAATGCTATTAATAGCCAGAGCAAGGGACAACTAACTACTACCAATAAGAAGACGGATCAACAAACTAATAATGATCATACCAATACGATTATAACAATATCAATGGTAATGATCAAAATCATACGAGTACGAATCAAACTATTAATAATAATGAGGTTCATACTCAGAATAATAGCAATACTATTGTTATTAACGATAGTAACACTAATAATAGTAATAATACCAGCAACTTTATTACGATTTTTACGAATACTAATAATTCGGATACGAATCATCGTACTCATAATCATGCTGAGCAATACTAATATCACTAATAATAAGATCACTACTCTAACATCAATACTGATCATAATAATAAGAGGAGGACGAGGAAGAGGAGGAGGAGGAGCAGGAGGAGGAGGAGGAGGGAGGAGGAGGACGAGGAGGAAAAAGAGAAGGAATCCCAGCCGCCCTGCTCTGAGGGCAGCCGGCCCCGCCCGGGACGGTTCAGCCGCCCAGCCCGCGGCGGCTGAGGTCGGGCGCCCGCCTCTTTCGGAGGGCGCCAGCTAGATACACCCTCCTCCTCCTCGTCCTCGTTCTCCTCCTCCACTTCTTCCACCTCTTCTTCCTCCTCTTCCTCCTCCCCCTCCCCCTCCTCCTCCTCGGCGGAGGAGGATCCGATTTCCATTCCGATATCGTGGGCTCCCGGGGGCTTTTTCTAGCCTCGGGATGCGTTCCAGCAGCTGCGAATAGGCGAGACCGTTCTTGGGGTGTCCGAGTCTTCCCGAACGGCCACCGCAGACCCGAGTGATGTCCTGAGAACCAATTCCATTCCAATATTCGGGCGATGCCATGCGGCTCACTGCCTGCATGGCGCTGTTGTTTGGCCTGGCGCGGTCTGTCCGATTCGATTTCGGCTTAGTGCTGCTGCGGCACCATCCGACGCACGTTTTGATCTGATCCGATTGCCCGATTTGATGCCGACTGATCCTGCCCTGAGATCAGGGTGTCGCAATTTTTAGCACTGAGGGTTTTCGCTTGGTTTCGGGCCCCCATGCACATCAGTCCAGATCGAGACGTGCCGCGGAGATGTGGTCAGGAGCTCTGGTCGTGTTTTTTCAGTGTTTTCACTATTCGTGCGACGACAGATTTTACGGTGACACCGCTTCTGGCCAGACCAGGCCTGGGCCGAGTTCGCTGCGAAGAATGCCGGCGGGAGGTTTTTGGCAGCTTTCGAGCCCCAGGGGGGCTCTCGCCGAGCCCCAGGATCGTCACATAATGGCCCAGGACGAGCCAAACTCGCAGGGGACAGGGTCAAGACCTCAGCGAGTCCACGCCGTGAGGAAGTCACGACGCCGGTGATCTGGGGAGGATCGGCATGCATGCCTTGTTGGCCAAGCCTGGGCCTGCATACACCAGTCCTGGGCCCAGGATGGGCCTGGCCAGGACAGGTGCAGGCTCGGTCGGAAGAAACGAGGGCACAGGGATCCTCCTCCTCCTCCTCCTTCTCGTCCTCGTCCTCCTCCTCCTCCTCCTCCTCCTCCACCTCCTCCACCTCCTCCTCCTCCTCCTCCCTCTCCTCCTCCTCCTCCTCCTCCTCCTCCTCTTCTTCTCCCTCCTCCTCCTCCTCCTTCCCCTCCTCCTCCTCCTCTTCCTCCTCCTCCTCCTCAAAAAGAGGGGCGCGAAGTCTGCTGCATGCAGCTGGTCTCGGCCCCGCCGCCAGGCGCGCTCCCCGGCACGTCATCTGGCGCCTCTGGCGCCGGGGTGCGCCGGGAGGAGCAGCTGCGTGAGCTGCTTTGCCAACCGTCAGTCGGGCCTGTCCTTCTACAGTGGGGATATCCGACAATGGTCAAACAATAGTCTGGGACGTATGTTCTCACTGTTTGTTTGTCCTCCAAAATCCGCCTGCAAGGGGACATGCCCGACCAAACGCTAACCCCCCCTCCCGTACATTGGACAATCTATTCGATGCCTGTGGGAACGAATAATGGCATGAACATAAGAACTCGGACCTCCGAGTTGTTATGTTTATGCCAGTCTTCGTTCCCCTACACCCTGCGGCGCAAGATGGCCCTCCTGGACCTCGAAATTAGCATTGGAGGATGTGGAAAGCAAGGGGGCTTGAGTCGAACCCCCAAATCACCACCCATCCCGAGTTCAACATCGATGTGGTGGGTCAGGTGGGGGGTCAGTATTCCTCCGAGTCTTCCTTGGGTTCGAGTAATTACATTGTCCAAGCGCCGTCCCCCTCCCCCCCCACCCCAGACCCCCGACGCCGTGATTTTTTCACAACGTTGACCCCCAGAGGTCTGGGCCGCTTCTCCGGAACCGGGTTTTGAATCTGAGTCGTCTTTTGACGGCCCCCCGGTGGCCGCACACGGCGAAAACCCTCCCGCCGTGATGTTTTCACAGCGCGAGGGAGTCTGGGACCCGACCCCCCTTCCGTCCGGCCCGAGCTGGGCTGGTCACAGTCGGCGCCTCCTCCCCCTCCCCCTCCTCCTCCTCCTCCTCCTCCTCCGCCTCCTCCTCCTCCTCCTCCTCCTCTTCGTCCTCTCCTCGTCCTCCTCCTCTTCCTCCTCCTCCTCTTCTTCTTCCTCCTCCTCCTCCTCCTCGTCCTCCTCGTCCTCCTCGTCCTCCCCCTCCTCGGTGCACGGCCGGCGCCCTCCCACCTCCCACCCGGCGCGGCCCCACACCCCGCGGCGGCCCCGCAGCGCGGCCGCTTGCGATGGCCGCTCGCGGCCGTGGGGACCAGCCCCTGCCCGAGCTTCCGCCAAACGCGGCGGGCAACCGCGCGAAGACGGTGAAGGAGGCTCGCCTGGGGGCCGCCAGCCCAGGGCTCATCCCGATGCCTCCGATTCGATTCGATTTCGATGGCTTCCAATTCCGATGCGATTCGACTTCGGATTCCGATTGGGGCTCCGATTTCTCAATGAGGCATACTACTTTGCCGATTTCCGCCGATTCGATTTTTCCCGACTCGACTACATAATGCAATTACCCCAACATTGAATCTCTCGTAGAATCAACAGAAACATACGTAGCATCTTGGTAGGTCAACGGGACCATCTTGGTATGTTTACGTAGACTTCACCGAAAAAGAACTTTTAGGGCAAATCAATTCCGTAGTCGATCCCCCACTCGGAAACTTCGTCTGGATGGGACGGTAATCGCCCCCCTCTTGAGTCCGCTGGGGGGTGGGTGGGCCCATTGAGCACGTGCTGTCGGAACGGGTGGAATGAGGGTTGGAGGAGGTTGAGGAGGAGGAGGAGGAGCAAGCTCAGTCGGAATGCTAAATCCCCTCCCCCTTGGATAAACTCCCCATCCAGAGCAGGGACAGGGATAAGTTCGAGGCCCGCCCGGCGGGGGGGGGGAGGAGGAGGAGGAGGAGGAGGAGGAGGAGGAGGAGGAGGAGGAGAGGAGGAGGAGGAGGAGGAGGCCCCCCGGATGGGCGCCGCGGCCTCCCGCAGGGCTCCCCTCTCTCTCTCCGCCGCCCCGCGGGGCGCCCAGAGGGCCCCTCCCTCGCGGGGCGCCCTCCGCCCACTCCTGGGCACGAGCCCTCGCCGGCGGCGAGCGGGGGCCCCGACCCCCTCGCTGTGTGAGAGAATCCCGACGGGAGTCTTTTTGTTTGTTTGTTTGTTTTCTTCGTTTCGTCGTCGTCGTCGTCGTCGTCGTCGTCGTCGTTGTCGTCGTCGTTGTCGTTGTCGTTGTCGTTGTCGTTGTCGTTGTCGTTGTCGTTGCTGTTGTTGTTATTGTTGTGGTTATTGTTGTTGTGGTTGTTGTAATTTTGTTTTGTTGTTGCTGCTGTTAATGTTGTTGTTGTTATTGTTGTTGTTGTTGTTGTTGTTGTTGTTGTTGTGGTTGTGGTTGTGGTTGTGGTTGTGGTTGTGGTTGTGGTTGTTGTTGTTGTTGTTGTTGTTGTTGTTGTTGTTGTTGTTGTTGTTGTTGTTGTTGTTGTTGTTGTTGTTGTTGTTGTTGTTGTTGTTGAACTCTCACTGCTGAAGAATAGTAATCTGTAGATGTGGTTTCTCCCAGTCCCTGTGTAGCATACCGGTCTACATCATGTTGCTGTTACTGCAACTGTGATGGCTCAAGTTCTGATGTGGGGGTGGGCGCCAGTCGTCCTCGCGGCCGCCAGGGACCTCACCACCCTTGGCCTTCATTACCAGACCGCGGCGATCGCCGCCCAGTGTCCGAGCCTTCCTGCGATCCCTGCGTGCCCCGAGCTGGTGTGCTCGTCGGGGCCTCCGCTCCCGGCCTGCCCGGCCGCGCACTGTGAGTGCACGTGCCCCAAGCCCGAGGCTGGCAGCTGGCTGCTGCTGCTGGGCGCGGGCGTGGCCACGGGGTGCGCGCTGGCGGGCCTGGTGCTCGGGGCTGCCGTCGGACTGTACGTTGGCCGACTCGCGGCTCGCGGGTCGAGTGCATCTGTGTGTTCACCCGGGGCTCTGCGTAACGCTCACGTGGTGGAGCCTGCCGCGGGACCAGAGACAGCGAGGGCGCTGGTGGTGACGCCAGAGATGGCGGCCAGGCCGCGCTCGCTTGACATACGGGAGCCGCAGATCGTCGTGAATTTCCCTCTGGATGCTTTGCCGTGGCATCATCGGATTCTTCTGCACGCCATGGGCGACGGGCGCTGGATGTGCTTGACGCCAGATATGGAGATCACGCAGCACAACTTGAACGAGCTGCGCCACTATGTCCTCGATCGGAATGCGCAGTTTCCTCGGTGGGTGCTGGCTGGGCTCTATGCTTTCGACCCCATCGACCACGGGGAGCTGCTTGAGCTGAAGCGCCAAGCCCGGCAGCGCGCGGCGCTGCTGGGGGCTGGCGACGCCGAGGATGAGGCGGACCTCGCTTGGGTGCTCGCCGAGCCGCGGGACGCGAGGTTCGGCGAGGTGGTGCCTGCTGACGTGGTGGAGGACCCGAATCGTTGTGCCCATCTGCGAAGGAAGGGCATCGTGATGCTGGACGGGCAGGAGCGGATGATCGAGCTGATCACCCGCGACGAGAGGGATGACTGGATGAAGGAGCGCAAGGAGAGCTGCGTCGACATCCGCCTGAACGGCGACCAGCGGTCGAAGATCGGCCGCAGGGACGTGGACTTCCGTGACGCCGTGGAGCAGATGGAGGAGGTGGAGCTCGCCGACTACACCGACTTAGGGCCGCGCGCGATGGGCGAGTTCGTCACGTCGGTGGCCGTCGGCAGCGGGAACCTCACGAGCTACCAGGCCGAGTGGGAGCGCATGAGCGGGGTCTTCTCAGGGGGTGCCCAATGCCACGAGCATCGTTCGCTCCTGGAGATTGCCCGCCGTGCGATCTGCATGGACCAGCTCAATGTGAAGAACCTCCACTGCATGGAGGCACTGGTCAGGCGGGTCATCCAGATCGAGATGGCAGTACAGCGCAATCCACGGCATCCAGACTTTTCCGGTCTCGAGGATGCCGTCGGCGGGCCCACAGGTGCATCGGGCTCTGCCGCCGTCCCGAGATACACAGAGTTTGTGGTGGCCCGCCAGAAGGACCGCGCCAATATATTGAAGCAGATGAGGTTGCACAAAGAGGAGCTGGAGCGGGAGCGCCCTTCGGACGACGGGGGGAAGCGGAACCTGAAGGACAAGGGGAAGGACAAGGGCAAGAAGAAGAAGGGCGGCCCCCCGGGCGATGGCTCGGGGGGCGGGGAATGACCGTGTTCCCTGGCGCTCACCAGCAGGGCTCTGCCGCGCCTGAAGACGGTGGGCGCCCTCGACGTGGAGCTGGAGGCCAGACCAAGACTGAATGGTGGCCTCGCGGACAGTGGCTTCACAACGACCCTTTTCCCTTGCCGCAGGTGGCCATCGACGCAAGGCCGTCTGGCGCCCCCCGCTCCACTGTGCGACGGTGGAGAGTCAGGACTGAGAGGCAGCGGCGAGTATCCGAAGCGGTTGACATGCTCAACTACCTCGCCGCCTCACGTGTGAATTCAGGATGCGACAAAGCTCGACGAGTTAGGCCGTACGGGGGAGCTCCCACAGCAGTGCAGCGCAGCGTGCTGGAGTCAGTCCAGGAGCGGATCGACTTCTACGGGAACCCCTCGAGCGAAGCGGTGGACGGCGAGAGATCCCTCCGGGAGATCCTCAGATCCACTGACCAGTATGAACTGGGGCCGCAGCATTTGGCGAGCTACGACGTCTCGCGCCTTAGGGTGTGCAAAGGGGACATCAACCCAGTTCCCGTGACGGACTTGCTACCTGCCGAGGCTGCAGGTTTTTTGAGACACTTCCAGAGCCAGATCGAGCTCTCAGAACCCGAGATCGCCGAGCGTGTCCGAGAGGCTGGGGGGATGCCCGAGCCGTACTGGGACCCTCGGCTTCGCGGTGATGCTGAGCTCCGTCGTGACTTTTTTCGCCGACTTGCCAAGATCGGCATCGTGGGTTTCAGGCGGGCCATCAAGTCCCGCTGCGGCGCTTTTTTCGTTCATAGGAAGGACGGCAACATCAGGTTTATCTGCGACGCGAGGGCGACGAACATGTGCCATCGTCTCCCTCCTCGGACGGTCTTGGGAGGTGCAGCCTGCCTTTCGGAGATCGACCTCAGCAGCTACGCTACGGCTCTGGGAGGCTTTGGTGGCGTCTGCGAGCCACGCTTCTCGGGAGCCGACGTCAAGGATTGTTTTTACCAGCTCGCCAACGAGGAGATGGGCAGCTGGTTCGGGTTCGACTCCGCGCTGACCATCGAGGACTGGGACATGGGCATCACGCGCGTGTGGGACGACGAGGTGGGAGACTGGACTCCTGCCCGAGCAGGCGAGCTCCTGTTCCCCTGCCTCCGTGTTTTACCGATGGGTTGGGCCTGGGCGCTGTACTTCGCCCAGGAGGCTGTCACTCAGCAGGTTCGACGCTCTGCTGCTGATGGAGATCGGCAGCTCCTTCGAGACAAGCGTCCTGCGCCCCTCCTGCGCCCTGGGCGGCCTCTGGCCGCCGTGTACGTGGACAACTTCACGGGGGTGGGGGGCTCGGCCGTCGACGCCGAGCACGGGGTGCGGGCCTTCGAGGAGCGGGCTGCCGAGGCGGGGCTGGCCCTGCACGCCGCGGACGTGGCGGTGGAGGAGCTGGAGAGTTTGGGCCTGGTGCTGTGCGGGACCGACCGCCGCGTGCGCCAGAAGCCCAAGCGGGTCTGGCGCTTCTACTTCGCCACCAAGGCCCTGCTGAAGCGGGGCCACGCGACGGGGGCCGAGCTCCGCGTCTGGGCGGGGCGCGCCGTGGCCCTCTTGGGGCTGCAGCCCTGCTTGCTATCCATCCTGCAGGGCGTGTACCACTTCATCGGCGACGGCAGTCGGCGGCGGGCAGCGTTTCCCGCGGCGGTCCGCGGGGAGCTCCGCATGGCCGCCATCGCCTGTTTCTTGACCGAGGTCGATCTGAGTGCGCCCCTCGCCGACGAGGTCCACGTTTCGGATTCGTCGTCCTCCGGTTTCTGCCTGATGTACGGACAGAAGCCGCTTCGTGCTGTCTGGGATGCATATCGCTGGCGAGAGCGTTGGCGATTCGTGGAGGTGGAGGCCGACAGGAGTTCGGACGCCTACACGGCGGCGTACCTCAACCAGCTCCGGGGCGTCACCGACGGCTTCGGGGCCACGCTGGACGAGGGGGCCCAGGCGGTCAGCCGGCAGGAGCCTGGCGCGAGACCGAGCTGGGGAAGCTCCTGTTTCGCCGAGCTGCTGTCGGCCGCGGTGCGCCGCGGCGCTGGGCCAGCCGCCCCGGTCTGACCCAGGAGGTGGAGTTGCTCAACGTCGTGCCCGCTCTGCCGACCGCCCTCACCAGCAGCCTCGGGTGGACTACCGCCGTCGAGGGTCGTTGGAAGTATGACGAGCACATCAACGTGAAGGAGGGCCGGATCTGTGTGGCCGGCCTGAGGCGCTTTTGCCGGACACGCGCCCACCACGGGCACCGTGCTCTCAGCCTTTGCGACAACCTTGTTTGCTGCTGCTGCTTTGACAAAGGCAGGGCCCGATCACACGTTCTGAATTCGTTGTGCCGAAAGGCGGCCGCCTATAGCGTGGGCTGCCGAGTTCGGTGGCGGGTCAGGCACGTCCCGACAGACTTGAATGTGGCTGACGAGGGGTCGAGGAGGGGCCAGGCCCGCGACCCTGAGTGGCTGCTGCAGAAGAAGAGGGAGCGACGGCCTGTTGCCCCTTGGTTGCCGTCCGCGAGCGTCGGGGAGGGGGGCTCATCCTCTTCGTCCGCTCCTCCCGATCATAGAGAACACGCCGAGTCACCATCGCCTCCCTCCACCTCACATGCACGCGTCTTTCTGGAGTTGTTCGCAGGCGCGGCGGGTCTGACCGCCGCCGTGCGACGTGCTGGGCTGCGGACAGCGGCCCCGTTTGACATCAAGAAGGGTGCCGAGTATGACCTCTCGAGGAGAAAAACACAGCTGCTCGTCCTATCTTGGGTTCGGTCTGGAAGTGTTTGGGCTGTACACGTGGGGACCCCGTGCAGGGCCTGGAGCAACGCTCGACGTGGAGTCCGCAATCTTCATCGAGCTGAAATCCTGGAGCGTCTCGGGGTTGAGTTCGCGTTGTTTACCGCTGAAGTTGTTCGTGAGTGTCAACGTTGTGGAGTGGGCTGGAGCATCGAGAACCCCATGACCTCTGGGCTCTGGAGTTTCCCTCCTATTGGTCGCCTCGCTGGTCTCCATGGTGCGTCTTGGGTGCGATTTCCTATGTGTGCGTATGGTGCTCCTCATCAAAAGTGGACTCTGGTGCTCACGAATATCCCGGAGCTGAGGGGCCTGTCGGCTCCCTGTACCCATCGTCGACATGAACAGCTGGTGGGTAAAGTTCGGGTCCCTGATGGCTCTGGGGGTCACGTCTGGTGCAATCTCACGGCCCTGGCGGGTCAGTATCCGTCGGCTTTGTGCTCGAGATGGGCGTCATACTTGAGCGAGGTTGCACCTCTGGCCGCCCGTGGGGGCGATGCCCCTTGGGCCGGCGAGTGGCACGCTGCCTTGGCGGCACTGGTTCGGCCTGGCCGTCGTCTTCGTGCTGGGCGTGATGTTCCCGGTGCTGACGAAGCAGCGTGCGGCGATGCGGTTTGTGGAGCAGCCACCGACTACCTCACGCGCCACGGCGTCCTCTTCGGCAGGACGGGGGCCGCCGAGAGGGCCCGGCTCAGGAAGCGCGGGGAGGCTCTCGACCTCCCAGTCGTCCCGCCGCCGGGTCTCGGCTAAGGCCAAGGCCGCCAGCCGGCGTCGTCGGGCTGAGGGCAGTGGGCGTTCGCGGGCGCAGTTCATGAGGGAGCTGTCCGTCGCAGAGTCCACTCGGAGGCTGTACGCGGCGGCGCTGGAGGACTTCGAGGCGTGGTGCGTCGGGGTCGGTCGCCAGACCAACAATGCAAAGGACGCTGACGAGAATATGGTGCACTGGTTTACTCAGATGTTCTTCGATGGCATGGGTCCTGGGACGGGCCGCAACGGCCTGTTCGGCTGGATCTTGCTGCGAGGAGAGCCCTTTCAGGACGGACGTCAGTTGCTCCCACGGGCTCGGAGGCAGTTGAAGGCTTGGGAGCGGACAGATCCCGGGCTTGTTGGCCTACCCTATCCGCTCATACTGATCTGGGCCATCGCGCTGGACCTGCTGAATCACGGGCTGGTGCGCATGGCCGCCTGCGTGGTGCTTCAGACCGATTTGCACTCGAGGCCTTCGGAGACCCTGTAGCTCTCGGAGGCCGACATTCTCCGTAGCCAGCCCGCGGCGGGCCGTGCTTTTGCCGGCCGCTGGGCAGTGGTCTTCGCGCCGTCCGAATCCGGGCGGAGGACCAAGACTGGCCAGACGGATGACACCGTCGATGTCGGGGTGTGTGGCCGTGAGTGGGTCAGAGACATTGTGGCCGCGCTCAAAGACTCAGTCCAAGTCGGTGAGCGCGTGTTCGATTTTGATCTTGCCACCTATGAGAGAGAGTTCTAAGCCTCCCTGGTGAGGTTGAAGCTACAGGCTGTGGGCGGCTCGCCGCATTGGTTGCGCCACTCTGGCCCGTCCAACGATCGGTTTGAGAAGAGAGCTGACCTTCCGTCAATCCAAAAGAGAGGCCGTTGGGTGAGTTTCAAGAGTGTCACAAGATATGAGAAGCACGCCCAACTTTTGAAGCAGCTTGAAAAATGTGACGCTTCTCAGATTCGAAGCGCGAAGCGCGCTGCCAGCTCTTTACCTGCCAGGCTTTTGCACTCGCTTCGTGAGATGACGGTCCAGAGACCAGTCCCGAGGAATTCGGGAGGTTTGGCCGTGAGAAAAAGGCCTACGAGTTTCGGCTAGCCGATTTCCTTTTCGTTTCATTTGAGAATTGTCTTACATGCCTGCGTGGTGCCGCCTGGCACCCCTCTCAGCACTGCTCGACGTTTGCTTGGAGAGTCACACTTGTGGCCCGAGGGGCCACTCCACGTGCACGCTGTTGCGTTTGGCTTCGTCTCCCGCTGCTGCGTCGGATATTCTTGCTGGTTAGCGGTCTAGGGACCCTGGAGAATAGTAATCTGTAGATGTGGTTTCTCCCAGTCCCTGTGTAGCATACCGGTCTACATCATGTTGCTGTTACTGCAACTGTGATGGCTCAAGTTCTGCCATCCTGCTTCCCCACCACCGCCCGTTCTCTTGGCCGTGAGAAAAAGGCCTACGAGTTTCGGCTAGCCGATTTCCTTTTCGTTTCATTTGAGAATTGTCTTACATGCCTGCGTGGTGCCGCCTGGCACCCCTCTCAGCACTGCTCGACGTTTGCTTGGAGAGTCACACTTGTGGCCCGAGGGGCCACTCCACGTGCGCGCTGTTGCGTTTGGCTTCGTCTCCCGCTGCTGCGTCGGATATTCTTGCTGGTTAGCGGTCTTGGGACCCTGGAGAACAATTATTGTTGATCCCCCCCGTCTGGTGCACATTGTTTTTCTCGATTGAAGTGCCCTTCCCGGGGCTCGCACCTTGTTTTTTATAAGGGAAAGTCTTGAGGGTCAAACTGTGTTGTTGGCCCCCGGGTTACAACAACAACGGCTCCCGCTTGAGACTTCCTCACAATTTAGCCAGGACCTTCGCTCCCGCCCGAGACTTCCTTGCATTTTATTCAGGAGTCGCGCTCTCGCTTGGGACTTCCTTGCAATTTATTCAGGGATCGCTCTCCCAGCGCTCTGGAGCGGCGCTCTCGCTGGAGACCTGCTTGCAATTTACTGAAGAACAGCGTCCTTGCGGTGGAAATTCTTGCAATTTATTCGAGCGCCGCGCTCCCGACACCCAGGCACCCAGGAGTCGCGCTCACGTCCAGGACTCCCTGACAGATTACCTAAGAATCGGGATCTCGCTGCCCTTCGTGGCCCCGTTGCAGCCCTTCGTGGCCCCCTCGCTTTGTTTCGTGGCCCCGTTGCAGCCCTTCGTGTCCCCCTCGCTGCCCTTCGCGGCCCCGTTGCAGCTCCTCGTGGCCTCCTCGCTGCCCTTCGTGGCCCCGTTGCAGCCCTTCGTGGCCCCCTCGCTTTGTTTCGTGGCCCCGTTGTAGCCCTTCGTGGTCCCCTCGCTGCCATTCGTGGCCCCGTCGCAGCCCTTCGTGGCCCCGTTGCAGCCCTTCGCGGCCCCCTCGCTGCCCTTCGTGGCCCCCTCGCTGCCCTTCGTGGCTCCATCTATGTATGCCCTTCGTGGCCCCCGCTCGTTCGCGCCCGTGGTGGCCCCATATGCATGCCCTTCGTGGCCCCGCTGTCGCCCTTCGTGGCCCCCTCGCTGCCCTTCGTGGCCCCGTTGCTGCCCTCAGTTGCCCCGTCCTTGCCCTCCGCAGCCCAGTATACGTATGCCCTTCGTGGCCCCCGTTCGTTCGCGCCCGTTGTGGTCCCATGTGCATGCCCTTCGTGGCCCCGCTGTCGTCGTTTGTGGCCCCCTCACTGTCCCACGTGGCCCAGTTGCTGCCCTCAGTTGCCCCGCCGTTGCCTTCTGTGGCCGCGCATGATCTGCCCTTCGTGGCCCCCGTTCGTTCGCGTCCGTCGTGGCCCCATGCGCATGCCCTTCGTGGCCCCGTTGTCGCCCTTCGTGGCCCCCTTCCTGCCCTTCGTGGCCCCGCTGTCGCCCTTCGTGGCCCCCTCGCTGCCCTTCGTGGCCCCGTTGCTGCCCTCAGTGGCCCCGTCCTTGCCCTCCGCGGCCCAGTATACGTATGCCCTTCGTGGCCCCCGCTCGTTCGCACTCTTCGTGGCCCCATACGCATTCCCTTCGTGTCCCCGCTGTCGCCCTTCGTGGCCTACTTCGTGTCCTTGTGGCCCTGCTGTCGTTCTCTCTCGCTCTCGCTTTCGCTCGTCGTCGTCGTCGTCGTCGTCGCCGTCGTCGTCGTCGTCGTCGTCGTCGTCGTCGTCGTCGTCGTCGTCGTCGTCGTCGTCGTGGTCGGTCCCCTGTCCGTCCCTCTTGGGGTCGGGTCGACGGTCCGCGGCCGCCCCGCCGATCAGCGCTGCCGCTGGCCAGGCCGACGGTCCGCGGCCGCCCCGCCGCTTGCCGGGGCCCGGCCTGCAGGGAAGAAAGGTATACCCCCCAAAAGGGGTTCGATCGAAGACGAAGAGGGCGGGTATCGAGGGTTTGGGAAATACGCGTTATTGCACACTCGAGCATATAAGGGCGAACAGTCTTAACATTATTATTGTTGTTGTTGTTGTTGTTGTTGTTGTTGTTGTTGTTGTTGCTGTTGTGGTTGTTGTTGTTGTTGTTGTTGTTGTTGTTGTTGTTGTTGTTGTGGTTGTTGTTGCTGCTGTTACTGTTGTTGTTGTTATTGTTGTTGTTATTGTTGTTGTTGTTGTTGTGGTTGTGGTTGTGGTGTGTTGTTGTTGTTGTTTGTTGTCGTCGTCGTCGTCGTCGTCGTCGTCGTCGTCGTCGTCGTCGTCGTGGTC